TAATAAATGGATTTACTGTTCTGCTGCCACTCGGCGTTGCACTTTGCTTCGAGCTGCTGCAGCGTTTGTTCGTGCTGCAGCAAAAACTTTCTTTGTTGAAATTCAATTTGAGAGCAGCAGCATCTTCGTCTTCTCCTGCTGCTGCGCTGCTGCTGCTGCTGCTGCTGCTGCTGCTGCTGCGCAGCAGCGACAGCCGCTCTATGTGCTGCTCCAGCGTCGCGTCAACAGCAGCAAACTCCCGCCTTGCTGCCAGCAGCAAATCTGAAAAGTGCCTCACCTGCGCCCGTGCTGCTGCTGCTGCTGCTGCGCCTTGCGCTGCTGCTGCTCCTCCTGCTGCTCCTGCTGCAGCAGGCCGGATGGAAGGCAGCAGCAGCTCCGCTGCGTCCAAGTTTGCTGCTATGCGGCGCCGAATCTCCAGCAGCTTGTCAGGGTCAGTGCTGCTGCTGCTGCTGCTGCTGCTGTGGAGAGAAGCAGCAGTTGAGCCAGAGCGCGGCGAGTCGACAGTCCAGGAGGGCTCTGCGTCGGCGTTGCTGCTGCTGCTGCTGCTGCTGGGGCGCTGCTGCAGCTGCTGCTGCTGCTGCAGGGAGGTGTAGCTGCTGCTGCTGCTGCTGCTGCTCTTCGCTGCTCGCAGTGTACATACAGCTCGCGTCAGCAACGCCAAATCTGTCTCTGCAGCTCTTAGCAGTTGTTTGAAGCGGCTGCGAGAGTTCGACATAGCGAGGGTTTAGGGTTTAGGGTTTAGGGTTTAGGGTTTAGGGTTTAGGGTTTGCGGTCCTTTGCGTGGTGGCAGGGAAAGCAAGCTAAACCCTAAACCCTAAACCCTAAACCCTGAAGAAGAAAGTAAGCAGCACCTCGCGTTGACCTTAAAAAATACAAAAGAAATCTAGGGTTTCGGGTCTAAGATTCACTTTCACTTTTTAGTGTTTAGGGTTTAGGGTTTAGGGTCTAGGGTTTAAGGTTTAGGGTTTGGCGCTGCGAGTCCGCCGCGGCTGCAGCCCCCAGCAAAGTTCTTGCGAAGTAGCTTTTAGGAATGAGTTTTAACTGTTAAACTATTTTGGAAACTTAGGATTTAGGGTTTAGGGTTTAGGGTTTAGGGTTTGGGGTTTAGGGTTTAGGGTTTAGGGTCGCTAGCTGTCCAGACACTCCAGCTGCTGCTCTAGTGCATGTCTGTCTCTCTCGTAAACCCTCAAAAGGAAATCCCAATAAAGTTTGTTGCAAACAAAACACAAAGTTTGTAGCAAGGGTTTAGGGTTTAGGGTTTAGGGTTCAGGGTTTAGTTTTAGGGTTTGGGAAGATGACTGCCGCGCTGAAGAAAATGGAGGAGCTGGACCTCAGCTACGCTGTACGTACACCTCACGGGGTTTCAAAGAAACAGAAAGAAATTAAAATTAAAATAAAAAATAAAATCAAAATATATTAAAATTAAAATAAATAAATAAACAAACAAAAATAAACCCATTTCGAATTATCTTCGGAGCGCCCATGCCTCCAGACGCAACTACTTCTTTTCCCGGGTCGCTCATTTAGGGTTTAGGGTTTAGGGTTTAGGGTTTGGGTAGTTTTTGTAACAGCATATTCTTTTTGAGCTGTTGAGGGTTTAGAACTGTCCCTAAACCCTCAGCCCCCCATCAGAAGCTCATTAATAAATATAATTAATTAATTTATTTATTTATTTATTTATTATTTATGTATTTGTTTATTATTTATTTATTTATTTATTTATTTATTTGTTTAGGAGGTGGAGCGGCTGACTGCAGCAATGCGGAAAAAGGAATTTGGAAATTTAATTAAAAATTATGTCGAAGAAATAAGTGACCCATCTTTCAGAGAAGTGAGCAGCTCTGGGGTGTACGTACACCTCAAACTGTGCGCGCTGAGGTGTACGTGAACCGGGTGTACGTACACCTGAAAACGCAGCGCAAACACGAAAAATAAAAGAAGCTTCGCGCACAAGTTCCGGGTCCAAGTGCTTATTAAAAGGAAGTTTAAATGAAATGATTTAAAATCTTTTATTCCGAAAATAAACACTTTTAATTTTTGTCTTTTAAACTTCTTTTTAATGCGCGGCCGGCGGCGGGTCACAGCTGTCGGGTGTACGTACAGCTCGAACTGCAGTTTCGGAGAAAACGCGAAAATTCAAAAACAGCAAAATCGACAGAAATTAGAAAGCAAAAGAGTTTTAAAAATGAATTATTTTGTTTCTTTTTAAGGGCTAGCAGCTGCTGCTTTTATTTAAATTTTTCGCTTTTTCCACTTTTCAAATTTCCGGTTTTGAGGTGTATGTACACCTCAAAACCGCGGAGCTGCAGGTACACCCCAGCTGCGCGTGAAACCATTTACAAATTAAAACGAATTTAGAAATCATTTTTGAAATAAGTGAAAGAATAATTTGAAATAAAATGCAGTTGCATAACTGATCAAGCAGTAGAAACTCCCAAACCAAAAAACCTGCTGCTGCTGCTGCTGCTGCTGCTTGGAGCAGCAGCAGCGGCTGCTGCTGCTGCTGTCCTAGCAGCAAACGGAGAAATAAACAAATAAAAATTTTAAAATGTATTGTTTGTTTTTATTTATTCTTTTTAGGAACAAGATGAATATTTGCTGCAACTGGAAAGTCAAGGAGAAGCTCCGAAAGGCACAGCGCTTTTCAGGCCGCAGCCAGGTGAGGTGTACATGCGCCTGAAATAAATTCAAAAATAATGAACAAAAAGATTGAATTTCATTTTTATTTAATTTTTTGTTCAGTGACAAGTTTAAGCTCTTGTTTTCGCTTTATCTTTGATCATTTTTAATTCTTTTTTGTTTGTTAATTTAATTCTTTTCGTTTATTTATTCACTTTTTCGTTTACTTGTCCATTTATTTTTTGTTTGTCTGCTTGTTTAGTCATTTATAAGTTATTTGTCTACTCTTTATTTATTTACATATTCATTTGCTTCCTTATCATTCATTTATTAATTTTTTAACGCATTTAAATATTCATATAATTAGTTATTAATCAATATTTACTACTTATATACTTATTCATTTATTTATTTTATTTATTTATTTGCAGCTTTATGCGTTTCAAGTTATCTGGTTTACTCCTCGGGGGTTTTGCAGCCTTTTTATTTTAACATTTGTTCTTTGGGAGCTGTCTGTACACCTGAAATAAAGGCAAACGGGTCAAATGAATTTAAAAAAGAAAAAAATAAAAGTAAAAATGAAAAAAATGAAAATGAAAAAAATGAAAGAAATGAAAAGGAAAAAAATATCCAAAAAGAAGGAATTCAGGTGTCTCTACCCTTCCTCGCCGCGCCGCCAAAACCCACTCGAGGAAAAGGTCAAAACAAATTAATTAATTATTTAATTAATTCATTAATAATTAGTCAATTTAATTAACCAGTTAATTAATTAATTAATTAATTAATCAATTAATTATTTAGTTTAATCAACCAATTAATTAATTAACTCATTATTTATTTCTCTATTTACATGTTTGTCTTTCGCATTTCTGTCTTTAATGCATTTGAATTCAAAAAATAATTTCAAATTAAAACAACAAAATTCAATTTTGAAAAAGAATTCTTTTCCACAAATTGGGTCTAAATGTTTTCATTTGAATTATTAAAAAAAAATTCAAAAATCAATTCTAAAAGAACAATTTTAAAAAATAATCCTATAAAAAGAATTTAAGTAAAGAATTTCATAAAAGAAATTGGGAAATTTGCGTTTTTTCTAAATTTTGAAAAATTAAATTTTGGAATTTATTTAATTTGAGGTTAAATTAGGTTTTGAAAAGGAATTTAAAAGACTAAAAAGGTTAAAATTAACTCAAAATTAATTTAAATTGAATTTAAATTTGACTTAAATTCAATTTTAATCTAATTTTAATGAATTTAAAACCTTTTTATTTCAAATTTAAATAAAAATGATTTATTTTGAACTTTCAAATTCAGATGGTTCTTCTTGTCTCGCCACTGACGTGTGCGTACACCCCAAAACAGTGGATCATATAAGAGGTAATTTAAATTCTAAATAAATAAATATATAAATAAATAAATTAATTAATTAATAATTAACAATTTAATTAATTTAACTAATTAATTAATTAGTAATTTAATTAATTAAATTAATTAATTAATTAATTAGCTAATTAGTTGGTTAATTGGCCAGTTAGTTCATCGATTAGTAATTTACTCTTTTATTCATGAACTTCAAATTTAAGTAATTGCCACATAAAGCCTATTAATTAATTAATTAATTAATCTATTTCTTTACTTATTTATTTATCTATTAATTTATTTATTCATCTATTTATTTATTTATTTATGTATTTATTTTATTTATTTACAGCTCATCCTTCTTTGCTTTCGGCGCTGCTGGACCGAGCTGTCGATACACTCGAAAAAGACTTCTTCAAGGGAGAAAAAATCTCAAAAGGTGAAAATCGAAAGAACTAAAACGAATAAATAAATAAATAAATAATAAATAAATAAATAAATAAATAAATAATTGCAAGCTTAAAGAAGTAAATAAATGCTTGATTAACTCATTGGTCGAAGAAATAATTAAAAAAGAAATAAATCAAACTAAGCAATTACAAGACTCAAAACAAAAAAATAAATAAATTCGTTTAATTGGCTTTTAAGTTTACAAATTTTATTTTTTGATAATAAATAAACAATAAAAAGATCCAACTAGACAAGCTAATGAATGAGCGAATTAACTAATTAGTTAGTTAATTGATTAATTAGCTAGTTAGTTAATTAATTAATTAATTTATTAATTAGTTAATTAATTAACTGATCAATTAATCAATTAATTAATTAATTAATGAATCAGTTAATGGATTGAGTAATCGTTTTATTTATTTATCTATTTATTTATTTGTAATTGCAGATTATCGTTTATTAAAGAAAAACTGTTATGGCAAAATTCTTTGAGCTAATGATTTTGTTAATTAATTATTATTTATTTATTTGTTTATTTATTTATTTTTAATTACAGATTATCGTTTATTAAA